AAAAATGTCATGTTTCCAATTTACTAATTCTTCCAATTCATTATTTATCTAATGTTTATCATTTGAATATTATGATACATGGTTTACGTATACATTTACTTTCATTTATATTTTTCTATTTGTTGTTGTTTGAAATGGTATATTATAAAAGAAACCTTTAGGCTGCTCTATCAGTGTTATTGTTGTTGTTGTTTGAAATGGTATATTATAAAAGAAACATTTAGGCTGTTCTATCAGTGTTGTTGATGTCGTCATTGTTGTTGTTATTGTTTTCTTCTTCTGTATTCATAATAAATATAAAACATTTAATTCCATTTGCCTTAATGATCTCATTACACTATTCACAATGGATATTCAATTTCTTTGAATGTATTCAATTTGATAAAAGATGAAATTCTTCATCATACTGAACAATTTCTACTTTCAATCTTGATTTGTTTTTTCTTTTTATTATTAAAACAATCTGACACAATTAATGTATTTGAAAGATGCATAGATACATAGATAGATAGATGGATAGATAAATGTACCGTTCTTTTTTGTTGTTTATTTTATGTAAGTATGCATAAACAGTTTTACTTGCCAAATAAAAGTTAATATACAAAACAAATTTAACACTTTGATATATTACATTAGAAATTTAAACAAAAAAAATATACATGGTTATGTTAATGTTTGTCTAATGTGTAATAATGGTAGATGTATATGTATATTCTCATTGATAGTTTATGATTGTCTAGTCAAAATAGTATTGATTACTGTGTATAGTTTGCTTTCACAACTGATCAGTATGGTTATTATGTAAAGAATATATATAAACTATACAATCAGTTTGTATGGTACATTCAATAATTGCTGTTGTTGTTGTTGTTGTTTTTCTTTCTGGAAAACAATTTACTTCATCGATAAATAATGATTTTTCCTGATTGTTAATGTTTAGGAAACAATATATGTTTATGTAATAGAAATAAATGTTTAATAATGATTTTATAAGGATGTTTTGTATATATACACACATATATCATTACTTACTCTTACTTACTTACGCCTGTTACTATTCGTGAAAAAGCATAGGCTACTCACCAGTATTCTCCATCCAACCCTGTCCTGGGCAATCCTTTCCAGCTCTTTCCAGTTGTTATTCATCCTTTTGATATTTGCTTCCATTTCCCAACGTAGTGTGTGCTTTGGCCTTCCTCTTTTCTGCTTCCCTTCAGGATTATATATATATATATATATATATATATATATATATATATATATATATATATATATATATATTGTCGACGCTAATAGTATCAGTGATACTGAAATCTGTCATAAATTCGTAAATTGAATTATCAAGTATCTTTGATGGCGAGACTATAATTTATGAATGACTTTTGAGTAACATTAAAGTGATCTTAAGAATGTCCTTCTATTTATTAGAGTCAAATGTAGGTAATATATCTACGAAAAAAAAAAGAATTATGATTTACAGCTGATGGTTAGGGTTAAGAATTAGATTTATGGATTTTATCACGGATTGATCTCATATATAATACCAAAACACTATTTAGCTAAATGGATGAATGTATTTCGCGCCAAAATTCAAAACCTGTTATCCAAAATATGATTAGTTTGTTCATAAATTATAGTATCGCCTCTTTGATTAGTATTACTAGGTATTCATACTAAGTTTGTTGGCTCTGTCTTGTTCCTATTCAAATTATCATTAATTACACATAGTTTATTTCGGTATACTTAAATTATCTGGAGACGTTATGGTACATAATAGTTGACTAGTAATCACAACAAATTATAGGTAAAGATGAATAGTGGCTAGCAATGGAATCCAGGACGCGCGTTTCGTCCCATTTGGGACTCGTCAACTGAATGTACCTGCATCTCAGAGTTGATGTTCACTCTGGGTCACAGGTTATAACAGGATGCACATATGCCAATAAGAGACTGATCAACTGCAGTCCTAAACATCAATCGGAAGATTCAAGTGAATTTAAAACTCCGTCCCATTACACAAGCAGGTGGTTATCAGGACTCAGTAGCTAAGTGGATAACGCGATAGTGTTTGAAGCGAACTGTACTGGGTTCTTGTCCTGAAGTGAACATCAACTCTGAGATGCAGGTACAAACATCTGACGAGTCCCAAATAGGACGAAACGCGTACCCTGGATTCCACTACTAGCCACTATCCATCTTTGCTTAAAATGTTTGTGGCTTCAGGCGATATCAAGGTTGTCCGCACAGTATGCACATATGCCAACAAGAGACTGCTAAATCGCAGTCCTAAATAACATTAGAAAGGTACAAGTAAACAACACTAAGTCAATTTAAATTGTATGCAATAATTGAACGGTGTTACAAATCCGCATATAAGATGAAAATCAAAAGTATACTAATGATAAGTCTATGAATAGTAAATAAGAAAAATGCTAAAGATAGACGTCCAAATATACTTTTATTCAACATAAAATGTTAAATGCATCAAATTCATCCCATTATATTTTGATTTACATCGTGTAAGGTTTTCAATTTCATCAATCATACTTTTTTTATGGTTTTTGAAATGGTCTACTCACCATTTAGTCTTCTATAATAGAGTATTAAAACATTCAGTCTTCTAGATATTTTTATTTAATCGTCTCTTGATGTGGTGGTTGGAATTACCTATTGTAATGACCTGATCAAGCTATATTGATTGGGGAACCCATTCCTTCAAGACCTCTCATGAAGAGCAACCCCAAGGTCAGAGAGTGAAGTCTTACTGCCAACTATACTGGAATGTAGTGATAGTAAGGTGTTCTGCTTAAATATCTATGACCTAGATTGATTCTGCCTTGTGATAATTAAGGAGTTAGCAAATGTCGCCTCTAAAATCAGTACACCTTACATTACCTCATGAATTTCCGTCTTCAACAGTAAGGTTTTAAAGTACGGAGCTGAGAAATCAGAATCGACTCGTTCTCATAGCTTATATGGATGAGTTTTTGAGCGTCTCAATTCAGTAAATGACACCAAAAGCTTCTGGTTTGTTAAAACCTGGAATACCATAAGACCCAACTAAAATTTTCCGTTTGATTTAGCCTACTGATTTGGATGTTAAAATAGTTTGCTACAACTTCCATGAGTATTCATAAAACGTCTTTTAATTCATCCGAACTTCAGTCAGCGAATGTATAAGCAGAAACTATAAAGAAGCAACAGGATGTGTTCACGTCTTTCCGAGTTCCTACTGTTCCATTGAGACAAGGAGCATATAAACGACTGTCGATAGAAATCCAGTCAAGAAGTGTTTACCGAGCTATATCTTCACTGAAAAGTCCGTGAAAGCTTGCTTTCATTTCTGAAGATACACGAAGAGTATATCGCGTTGGATCTTCGTACTAGCTAGTTAGGGTCGAATGAATAGCTGTGCTATGATTCTGTATGTGTATTTTGTTGACTTCGATATATGCCACCAATGTTAGCGATGTAGATGAGCACTGCATTTGTTTGGTTGACACTATGAAAATGGAGATGTAGTAAAGCCATAAGACTAAATGCACTGCTTTTTGCTTGTAGTATCGTTTCACACAATAATGTGGTTCGTTGTACAGGATTGTGCTCTGGTACTATCTGTTAAAGGGTGTGTTTGAGGAGTTTATTAACATTTTAAAGTTTCTATGTACAGACACCTCATGTAGGGTGAGGGTGTACAACCTCTCTTTGTTGTTCCATCCAAAGAGTTAGATTACTTGATATGTTCGTTAGGAGTGAGGAACTGGACGTGATACTTACTGGCCTCGATATCTTATTGTCATAGTTTGCAAGAATGTAGGGAAATCCTCGTGTGATAACCACAAAGAAATCAGTTTGGTCTATATAGTGTCTGAAATACTAGCCCCCGTAATTGTCCAATGCTTAACTAGTGTATGTGAAGAGCGAACTAGAGATAACCATGTTGGCTTCAGACCTGAATGTGGATGTATGCACTAAATGTTCCCTCTTCGTCAAGTTATGGAACAGAGATATCTGTCTACTCCTAACAATAGTTGTATTTCTCAATGTTAAGGGGAGGATTTAATTCCTTATATCGATAGACTTAGTACATATGTCTCAGACTATAGTGTTGACTGATGTGGCATCGAATTCTCCAGTTACTTCAAGAGTACTGGTACACCTTGTTGACATGTGCGCAATAGCACTAAGCCTAGGTCCAGGGTTTTCTATTTACAGTCTCCAACCATTTATCAAGTACGAACTACCTCGACAAAGAAAGTCTCGTAGCCTCATTAACCAGTTTTCACGTATCCTGAATATAAGCACTATCCAGTCTTAGATTTTACCAGAGGCAAGCAATGCTTATAGTTGCCTCAACAAACATTTTCCTCCTGTTATTGATAATTTAAGTTATCAAAAGTTAAATGAAATTCTGTTAGCTGCTAACATATTAAGGACACTCATTAATAAATAAACTTTGAAGAAAAATCTTTTTTCTGTGTTAAACAAACTCATTCTTAATGTGCTCATATTGTCATTTAAGGGGGGTAAACAAGAGTTTGCAGTTTGCCAACATATACATCCTAGAGAGTTTGTATTTCCTTCAATTTCATAATTAGTTCCTAAAAGACTGACATTTTGTTAAAAATCATATTTATTATTTCTGTCTCTGTACTATGGTGTCTGATAATTTTGTTCATTCTTTTATTTACCTGTGTCTCTTTACCATTGTTTCGTATTTAAAACTTAACTACAGTACGGTCGTTAGTAGGAAGAGTCAGCTCTCCCTCTCCAAATGCTCTCAAGGCTTTGGATGTGGTCCCCCTAAAAAAATCACCTACTTCGGTTTGGTCACCCGAGCAGTATCCGAGCCCTCACATAAATCAAATGATTTATATGGCGTATATCAGTTTGGTGCCTCCCTGTACCAATGTTTATGTGTTTATATAAATAAATAAATAGATTTAGAATTATATATATATATATATATTTTTTTTCTTCTTCTTCTTCAATTCTTCAAGTTATCCAATCAGTGAGGACATTTTTGGATAATCATGGTTTTCGTGAGCTATTCGAAGAAGAATCTTGGAGTTTACGTCCTTTGGATAAGGTTTATATAACGAAAAATGAATCAACTGTAATCGCAGCCGCTGTTGGTGGTCGATTCGAATCAGGCAATGGTTTTACTTTGCTTGGAGCACATACAGATAGTCCATGTTTACGTTTAAAACCGAATTCGGAACGATTAAAAGAAGGATATATTCAATTAGGTGTTGAGACATATGGTGGTGGTCTTTGGTATACATGGTTTGATAGAGATTTAAAATTGGCTGGACGTGTAATTATTCGTAATGCTGAAGGACGTCTAGAACAACGCTTAGTGCATATTAATAATCCAATTGCTTGTGTTCCTAGTTTAGCAATACATTTAAATCAAGAAATTAAAACTCAAGGTTTTCATCCAAATTCCGAACAACATTTATCTCCAATACTGTGTACTAGTTTGATGGAACAGGTTAGTTTATACCTTATTTCACAATAAGGAAAATATTGTTATGTAGTACATTTATGTAACAGGGGTGTTTCTTTTGTATGACGTTAAAAAAAATCAGTGTGAGGATAGCGTGTGTGAAGATCTTTAGAAAAGTCAACCACTTCTTAGGGCCAACCGAGGGTCATGGCTTGGTCATAAGAATTCAGAGTTCAAAAATAGGGTTACCATTTAAAGTTAGGGTTTTCATCATGTCAAAATGCTACTTTACCATATGGGTGATTGAATTTCGTGTCAAATTCTAAGACTGTCTGTTTTAAATCTGACTAGTTCATCCATATATTATAATCTCACCTAATTATCTATGTGGTACTATTCTTTAAGTAATTAAAACTGCTTAGTCAGTCATTCAGTCATCTACAACGTAGGACCGATCAGTTACTCCAATGGTAGAAATAAAAAAGATTGCATATAAGGATATAGTACGGGAAGAAAGAATTAGTTGTTAGAAAGAAAGGTATATAGTAGTTTTATTCTCACAATGTAAGGGAAGACAAAGTGTATACACCATTGTCATCAATCCTGAGCCATGTAACTCAGTCTCCAAGCACTGGTTACGATAGTCACGCGAACCCCAACCAAGTAGTCTGTATCTACCAACATGGCTAAGAGTAGAAGTTAATAACTTCAAGGACCAATGCCCTGCATCTAACCTCACTATTACTTACCCGGTGATCTTAGAAGACGCGAGCAATATTTCTAAGACATCTGTCATTAAATGCTAGTAACTAACGGATATCCTCTGCCCTCGTACTTAGTGCTATGCCTACGCCGCCAATCCACGAAAACTTGTTGTCGGGTCGCCAGATAAACGGAGGGTGTGTCTCGTCGGCTCCTCGCTTTGGTTAGGTGAGGTCAAGTGAATGACCATATTAAGATCCTGTATGTGTGTTTTGGAGACCCAGCATACATTATTGGTATGAGATTCTAGGGTCTTAGCCAAGGAGACTTTCTGGCCGATTTGTCATAGGTTACGTACGTTGAAGGCTCCAATGTATAGTTTGGGGTAAGGTTTTAGTAGACCTGGGACAGTGTTTCGCGCACTAGAATCGTTGACCATGGTGATACTTGATGAGAAAGTCAAAAGAGGATGTTTGGAGTTGATAGTCGAGGTAGGAGGAATAATAGGAATCGAAGAGGGAAATTGATTATGAATACAGTGATGTTGAGTGCTGTTAAAGGTTTGAAGGCGGTTATCAATCCCCGATTGCCCACACCATAGAGGTACCTGAAAATGAAATTGGGTTAGAGTTGGTCTTCGTGACCTGAGAGCGTAACCGTAGTGCCCAAGGGACAATTGTTTGAGGCAGGTCATACATAACTTTTTTATGAGTAATTTTCGTGTTGTAGAAATAATGTGTTCTTTCTGGTATTTAATAAACCTCTAGTTATTATAAGTGTTATTTAATTCAAAGAATATTCAAGCAAACAATCGTTTTCAATAACTTCATCTCTAAGGTTCTACAGTTATAAATCCATGAATATTACATTAAATTAGCTAATCTATTAGGGTATACAAATACCAGAATTACAACTGAATCGGTCAGCATTATTATTCATTAATAATTTTCTCATTAGCGTTTTTTAACGAGTTGGTTTTCTACGGGATGAGGTCACTAGCCTCATGCCCAACCCTCCTCCTTTATCCGGGCCTAGGACCGGCAGTAGCCCTCGGAGGGACTCCAGGTGCAGTTATTAATCATTAATAGTGGATTTCATTTTGCTGAAGTATCAAATGCTTGTGATGTGAGTTTCTAATAAAGTTGAACGATCATATAAATCCTTTAAGTTAATATATTATGATCAGTAGAACCTATATTAATGATTGTGTTATATAATGAGGCAGGGTATATATCTAAACGTAAATATGCTTGAAGTCACTGACTTCTAGTCTTAACCATGTTGGTAGATGCAAACTATTTGATTGGCGTCCGCCTAATTACCGTAACCAATGGTTGGAGACTCTGGGTGACATGACTCAAAATCTATCAGAATTGTCGGTGTTTACACTCTGCCTTCCTTTAAACTATGAGATTAAAATCGCTTCATATCTTTCTACGTACTAATTCTTTCTTCCTGTACTATATCCTTTTATGCAATCCTTTTATGTATTGCCACCATCGCATTAACTACTTCTATGGATCCGGTGTTCATCTCTTTATGCTAATGCAGTATGGCAACTTGGATCGATGCGTATATGTGCCTGGTCCTACGTTGTAGCTGACTGACTAAACCTAAATGATGATTACGGGTTAGAAGTTTACAATATTAAGCTAACCATTTTGTAATTCATGGTAAATAAGATAGCTGAACACATGTTTCCAGTTTCCTCAAGTTGATCCCAATTGTTCATATTATGTAACGAAAATATAGATTTATCATAATCAAAGAATCTTTTTCTTGTGTACATTGTTACTTGAGAAAAGTGGTCATCAAGTCTGTAAGCACCATTTATCATTTAGAAAATAATGAACAAGATATCCTGTTTGGGAAGATCCAGTAAACTCCTCGAAAAACGCCAAAAAAGGTTCTGAAAACGCTGAGAAGCATCTTATCCAATGAGCGTTCATTAGAAGTATTGCCAAAAGAATCTAGAATGCGAAAAGTCACATGCCGGGTTTCTGATTGTATGATTACCTATACTGCCACTATGTTTAGTAGCGTTCCAGAATTTTCCGGAAACTCAAGGCCATCTGAAGTACTATAAGTACTCTAGATTTTCTGTACATGAACGAACGTTTGGGGCAAAGCGTTTATTCCATATTTTGCGCCTTTTCTCTCGTGTTCAAGTCGCTGTGTAGACTTAGCCTTGGAGTTACTAGAGAGTTTAGGAACTGAATCTAGCGTTCAATGAGAGGACTTATCACTCTTCACAATATATCCTTTTTTTAGAATTGGAGGTTTTTGGAGATTGTAGTGATTTTAACAGTTGAATTCATAAGTCGATGTAAGCTAGACCACCATTAAAAACCTGAAAGCACTGGACGGCCGTATCGTCTCGCGTGTGTGGTCTTAGATGCGCTGTGCTCACCAGTCTCGTACTAGGACGACTCACGAATCCAACTGTTAATATTCTCTTTTATTGGACTTCTTTGTATCTACTAATGCATATTTCCTGTTTAAAATGTCGCTGAAGTTAAGAAGGAAGTTGTATTTGTAAAAAAATATCAGTGATTGAAATGAAAATAAATCCAACGTTTTACTCAACAGTTTGATTCAAGCTTCTTCGAACGGGAAATAATAACCAAACATTATAATTATCGAATATACTATATAGAGAGTTCACAATTTAACTGTATACTAAACAAATCGTTCAGTTATATTATGTATACTGAATATGGACTTTATTTGTAGTGTAGATATAAAGATATTTTGTTTAAAATCTGGAGAAATTGTGATAAGCTAAGAAATATATGCATTTCTATATGTAGATTTTAGAATTTAGGATTCAGGAAAAGAAAACTACTAACTTATGTTCCTTTAAGTTGGATTTCGAGTCAAATTATTTGAATAGTCAACTTGTGATTTTACTAACCATTTTATTCAAATCAACACCATACCATGTTGAAAGCACCGGTTCTCGTCCGATCACTGCAGGTAAGCAACGTTGGACCCGGTCAGTACTTGTACGTCTCCAAATGCTATGGTACGACTGAGGGTGGGAAGAGTCAGCTCTCCCTATCCAAATGCTCTCACATGGCCACGCGTATATAGTCACTATCAAAGAGGTCCTAATCACTACATTCTCGTGGTCAGGGTGTTGTTTACAAAATTCAAAGAACGAAAAGCGAATGGCCAGTGCTTTAACCGGGTTGATTGATGTGGAGGATCCACCTACAGAAGTTGGAAAACCATGATTTTAAACCGATGGTGTACATGGGCTCCAGTATCCTAAAGAAACAAATGGTTTGTGAAATTATTGTTGGTCACTGGCTACCATGGAACTGCATCCATCCACTACAAATTGATTATAAACTAGAAATTACTAAATAGTTGTTTCTTCTCAGTTTAGAACTTATAGTTAATGAGCATACTCAACTTTATTTTCTCCTGCATTACAATTCAGAGCAACATGGCATGACGCATAGGTTAGTATAATTTTACAATGATATTCATTGCCCTATTATATTTTCTAAGAACTTTATGCCTAACAACAACACTAAACAATTCAAATTACGAAAAATTAAAAAAATGATGATTATGATTAGATCCTACTTGGTAGTAGTTTTTACTTACAGTTCAGTTGATGAGTTAAAATAGATGGTTTTTCATATTGTTTTTTCTTGTACAGCTTCAAAATCCAACTGCTCAAACTGCCAATACTACTGAATGTGGAAATGATTCAACAAATACGTGTTATAACATATGTCCTATTTCATCATTATCTAATAGAAATCGTCATCCACCAGCTTTGTTACGTTTATTAAGTGAAGAAACAGGTGTTAGTGAACAACAAATTGTGGAACTGGAACTTTGTTTTGCTGATGCACAGCCTGCTTGCGTTGGTGGCTTGTACAAAGAATTTATTCATGCACCTCGTTTAGATAATTTGTTTAATTCTTATGCTGGTCTTCATGGTTTCATTGAATCTCTTCCAACTTTGTCCTCTGAGTGTAATATACGTTTATTATGCTTATTTGATCATGAAGAAGTTGGATCTACATCAGCTCAAGGTGCAGATTCAGGCTATACTTTGTCTGTTATTCGTCGACTTAATAAAGCATTTGAAATGTGCAATTTATCTGAAACACTTACGCCAACTAACAATACAACTACATCACAATGTACAAAATGTAATTTAGATTTACATTTTGAAAAATCATTAGCTAAATCTTTTCTTGTATCAGCTGATCAAGCTCATGCAGTTCATCCATCATGGGGTGAACGACATGAATGTTATCATAAACCTCAATTTCACAGTGGTGTCGTATTAAAATATAATGTTTCACAGCGTTATGCTACGAATAGCCTTACTGCAGCGGTTGTTCGTGAAATTGCACATTTGTCTAATGTTCCAGTTCAGGTTTGTATTTTTTGAGTTTTTCGTTATTACGTAAATTAATAATCTATACTTTAAACGAAGATAAATGCTGGTTAGTAGTGAAATCTAGGATGCCCGTTTCGTTTTGTTTGGGACTCGTCAGCTGGATGTACTTTCATCCCAGAGTGGATGTTCATTCTGGGACTATCCAGTACCATTTTCTTCAAACGCTACCACGTTAACCACTTAGCTACTGAGTCCAGATAGTCACTAGCTATTGCAATGGGGTGAATTTTAATTTTCATATATGTATTGGTTGTCTGGATCTTCCCATTGATGTTTAGCATTCCGATTGATCAGTTTCTTTTTTGGGATATGTGCATTTTGTGCGGATAACCTCGATATTGCCATCAAGTCACAATGTGCGTCGTGAATTCCACCGATAGACATTATCCATCTCTTTTTGAAATAATTATGACTTAATAGGAATATCGAGGCCATCTGCAAAACATGCACATATCCTTAAGAAAGCTAGAGGTGGTCAAACTAAAACGTAGCATCAGTTCATGAAGTTATTAACAGCTGGATTGAATCAATCAATGCCATGGCTCTGGTGGGTTCATTCTTTGTCCTCGTGTAGATTCTAAGCTCTTGAATCCTTCATAATTTCACTAATTTATTATTTTTTTCAAATCGTATTTTCGATAACTAATCTTTTCTATCAGTACTCATACTGTTACTACCTCTAATATTCTGGGATTTAACGTGATAATTTCATCTCTCTCTGCTCATGGGTTATGGAAACTGGAATCGATATACATATATACCAGGTTCTACATTGTAACTACTACTATTGATGCCCAGAGGCACTGATGATTAGGACCTCTTTGATAGTGACTATATACGCGTGGCCATGTGAGAGCATTTAGATAGAGAGAGCTGACTCTCTTCACTCTCGTCCGTGCCCCTGAACGCCCTGGTACGGCCGAGAGTGGGGAGAGTCTGCTCTCCCTCTCGAAATACTCTCACACGGCCGCGCGTATACAGCCTGTGCCAGGGAAGTCCTACTCATTGCCTTCTCATGGCGGGGGTGTTGTTTACGAAAATGAGAGGACGAAAAGCGAACGTCCGGCGCTTTAACCGGATCACAAACCAATGGTGCACATGGGCTCCAGTATCCTGCGGGAACAAATGGCGTATGAACCAATCGTTGGTCACCGGCTACCATGGGATTGCATCTCCTTACGATGCTCCACTGCCTTGTGGGTTAGATCATTAGGTCAAAGGCTCGGGGTGTGGCCCACTAAGATAACCACCTGCTTCGGTTTGGGCACCCGGGCAGTATCACAGCCCACACACAAATGATGAACTCTTTATGTCTATGGAAATTACCTTTCTCGCTTCGAAAAACAAATTGATTCAAATTATTATCATTACAATTATTGTCATTATTAATACTATTATTATTATTACCATTATTGTCATTATTATTATTATTATCATTATTATTTTCTACATTATTCACCCTCTTTTATACTTATACAGCGGTTCGTCTTTGGTGGAAATTCGACTGTATCTAAACGTTCTCGAGTCACTGTCCGGTTGAAAATTGTATGTTACCACCGATTACGAGAACTGAAGCAGTTTTTCTGAAACCACGTGCGTCATTCAAACTGGCTGCCTTTAACGTTCGCACACTAGTGCAGGTCGGACAACAGATAGGGCTGGCTATGTCTTTGGAAAGTCTTAATATTGATGTTTGTTGTCTATCCGAGACCCGTATTCAAGACTCTGGCGAAGTACTACAAATTCGATCTCCATCTGTCGCTTCGAAAAGCTTGTTTTACGTGCGCTTATCCGGGGACCCTGTGGCATCTTCGTCTGGTCTTGCTGGCGTTGGTGTCGCACTAAGCGCTAGAGCTGAGGCAGCACTAGTCGATTGGATCCCCATTAACAGTCGGTTATGTGCTGTTAGATTAGAAATTTCCATCAAAGTGAGAAGAAATTGGCGTGAGAAACGATGTCTTTTCGTCATCTCCGCCTATGCCCCGACAGATTGCAGCTCGGATGCAATCAAGGATGAGTTTTACCACCAGTTATCTGTTCTTCTCCAGAAAGTGCGTTCGACAGATATTGTAGTACTAGCCGGAGACTTGAATGCTCAGGTCGGGCGTCTAGGCACAGAAGAGAGTCGTTTAGGTGGCCGATGGGGACTCGTTAGTCGCAGGTCAGATAACGGGGACCGTCAACTGCAACTTTGCACAGACCACAACCTGTTTCTGGCTAGCACTAACCTTCGGCACAGTCATCGCCGATGTGCCACCTGGCGTCCTCCCTCTGCATATCAAGCCTGGACTCAGATTGATCACATCGCGATCAGCTACCGCTGGCGTGGTTGTGTACAAGACTGTCGCTCCTTTTGAAGTACCTATATGGACTCTGACCATGCCTTGATCTGCGCCAATCTTGCCTTACTTTTCAGTGGACAACGAAGTGACCGCCATCAACGGATTGATATTAGCAAGCTGGTTGCAACTTCTGTTGCAAATAAGTATCGAACCGAGCTAACCTCTAGGCTAGCTACCACTCCACCGAAAAGTATAGATGAGCATTGGTTGCAATTGCATGACGCCATGAAAATGGCGGGAACAGTCAGTTGTGGGTTTGTGAAACGTCCCGCTTTTAAGCACTGGGTTTCTTCTGGTTCCTTACAACTCATTGAAGCTCGTCGGTCTACTCCGGGTGACCGTGAGTTTGACCATAAACGAAGGATGTTACGTAAGGAAATTGGGCAAAGCTTGCGTAAGGACCGAGAAGCCTGGTGGTCGGAGCGTGCTAATGAGCTGGAAGCAGCAGCTGCATCTGGTAACTACCGGAAGCTCTTCCAGCTCATCCGAGCCACTGGCAGCAAGAAGTCTGGTGTGAGTGAAACGATCTGCGAGGATGATGGGATGCCAATCACTAACATCCATCGACTAAGGAATTGACGACGTTGTTTACAAAGGTTTGGGAATTAGAGAGTGTACCAACGTCATGGAATGAGTCGATAGTTGTCCCTATCTTTAAAAAGGGTTCACGTCGTTCCTGTAACAACTATCGGGGGATAAGTCTACTTCCGATTGCGTCCAAGCTATTGGCTTCCGTCATACTTCGTAGGTTGTTCAAAACCCGAGAAAGATTGACTCGCGAGGAGCAGGCTGGGTTTCGTTCTGGTCGAGGTTGTATTGATCATATCTTCACCCTCCGTCAAATGTTAGAACATCGCCATACTTATCAAAGGCCAACAATCGTAGTGTTTCTTGACATCAGGGCTGCCTTCGATTCGTTGGACAGGACTGTTCTCTGGGATTGTCTATTGAAGAAGGGTGTGCCTGAGAAGTTTATTAACATCCTAAAAGCCCTATATAAAAACACCTCAGGCAGAGTGAGGGCATACAACCACCTCTCTCCATTGTTCCATTCGAGTAGTGGGGTTAGGCAGGGTTGCCCAATCTCACCATTCCTCTTCAACTTTGCCATCGATGACATTCTGGAAACAGCTCTGATGAATGTAAGTAATGGTGGTGTGGATCTGTTGCCTGAAGAAAGACTTCTCGACCTTGAGTATGCGGATGATATTGTCTTACTGTGCGATAATGCCCAGGGCATGCAATCCGCACTTAATCAGTTGGCAATCAGTGTCCGTAGGTATGGTATGTGCTTTGCACCATCGAAGTGCAAAGTACTTCTACAAGACTGGCAGGATTCCAATCCTGTACTCACCCTGGATGGTGAGCAGATAGACGTAGTGGAGAAGTTCGTGTATCTGGGTAGCTGCATAAGTGCTGGTGTGGGTGTGAGTGATGAGATCAATGAACGTATAGTGAAAGCCAGAGTGGCTTATGCCAATCTGGGCCATCTTTGGCGCCTTCGTGATGTTTGTCTGGCTGTAAACGGTCGGATCTACAACGCGTCGATGAGAGCAGTTTTGCTCTATGCCTCTTCGAGTTGAGGACGTTAGACGACTCTCTGTGTTCGATCATCGCTGTCTCCGAAGGATTGCTGACATTCAGTGGCAACACCATGACAGTAATGCAGAGGTTCGGCATCGTGTGTTTGGGCATAGAGATGATAATTCAATTGGTGTCACCATCTTGAAACACCGACTTCGGTGGCTTGGACATGTTCTACGAATGTCGTCCCAGAGAGTTCCACGTCGTGCATTATTTGCCGACTCTGGGACTGGTTGGAAAAAGCGGAGAGGTGGTCAGTGCATGACATAGTGTCGTGGTATGGAAGAAAGCTGCAAAGGACATGCTTCTGTCGGTCCTTCACGTCTCCCTGGTTGGGGTCTGAGAGATGGTGCTACACAGTGGCTAGAGACGTTATCAGATATGGCTCAGAATAGAAGGCAGTGGCGATCCTGCTGTAACCTTTTACTTTCTTCATAAAAAGTGGTTGTGTCTCCCTTACTTGAAAGGTTTCTTCTGATTGTACCTTTCCGTTCCATCGTTACGACCACACTAACTTACACCAATCTCTTCGTTATCGTTCTCTTTTTCTTTTGTGCTCCTTAGTTTTTTTTTCTATCTCTCTTCGAATTTTCATTGTTTTGTGTGGCGCATATATATTGGCGCTCTCTTGTACCAATATTTATGTGTTCAAATAAATAAATAAATAAATGAATAAACTCTCGTCCGTACCAGGGCATTTGAGGGCGATTGGTAGCATAACAATTGTGTATTAGTGAAAAATTCATTAAACAACAATTACACATTTCTATAAATGTGTTATATCATTAAATCAGTTTTGCACAAGCTAATAGCCATCTAGTCTCACTGGCTAAGTGAATAAACGCGATGGCGTTTAAAGCGAACGGTACTGGAGTTGTGTCTCGGAATGAACATCAACACTGCGATGCAAGTGCATCCAACTGACGAGTCTAAAATAGAACGAAACGCTTGTCCGGAATTCAATTGCCAGCCACTGTCTATCTCTGCCTATAATGCTAGTGTTACATCATTTCTTAATTACTAGCTAAATAAAAACTAGAATCAAATGAAGACTGAATGGATAAGTTGACGGTAAACATTCAATGTAAATTACAATTTATGTTTATATTGCCTGGTTATAGACTTAACACATACATTGTTTTTTGAGCTTTATCGAATTGGTTTACACTTGAACTGATCATTATCCAGGATCTTATTTTCATTTTAGTTCTAAAGTATTTTGTTGAATTTATTATTTTATATATTGAAACATCCTTTGACTGTTAATATTCCGATCACATTATATTAGTTCATTTATCAGTTTTTTTAAAATACCTTATATTGGGATATTTATCCATCAGATTAAAATATCAATGTTATATTACATGTCGTTATTTGATTACTGTTACTTCAATGTGATACTGTTTAACTAGGTATTTTATCAGAAGTCGAAATTTTGATTTACTATTCATTCCATATATGAATCGACTTTATTGATTTAAATACATAAACATCAGTACAAAGGGGCATCAAAAAATATTTATATACATCACACAAATAAGTGGATTTTTATATGGGCTGGGTTAATTCCATATTGCCGGAAGCGGAGCAAGTAGTTTTCACAGGGGGGGGGAAATCCCGGAACCTTTGACATACAAGTCTAATACAGAAAGCAAACGGGTAACGTTAGGACATGCAGTCCTATAGTAGTCAGTAACCAACAATAGGTTCATACACCATCTGTTCCCTCAAGATTCTGAGATCTATATGCACTATTGGTTTGGGATGAAGGTTTTCCAACTCCATATCCTTCAACACGGTTAAAACGCTGTATATTTGCTTTTCGTCATAAGAAGGAAAGGAATAGGACTTTCCTTGTAGTGATTGTATACGCATGGCTATTAGAGAGCACTTCGAGAAGGAAAGTGTATACCCCACTTTCGATTGTACCAAGGTATTTGAAGGTTCTTTCTCAACAATTCGCAAACTCAAATGTTTTGTTTTCGTTGTTACTAAATAGATAATTGTTCACAAAGTATACACTACATATAAATAGTTATACGTTACACGATTTACTTGTCATTAAAGCGTTATAAACTTCACCTTTATCTTATTAAAAACTATTATACTAGGATTATATAACTGTTAATATAAAATTATGAATATGCAGTACTGAAGAGAGTCCCACACTAGGATGGAATAGTCATTCAATACTTCCAGGTTTGTCTAATTTGATGTTTTAAGAATATATATATATATATATATATATATATATATATATATATATATATATATATATATATATATATATATATATATATATACTTTATAGTTGAATTCATGAGTCCATTGAAACTAGACGACCATGGAAAAACCTGAAAGCACTGAACAGTCGTTTCATCTTAGTATGAGACTCCTCAATAGTGCGTATCCACGATATCCACTTCACGAGATTTGAAACCAGGATCTACATATATATACTTATTTATAAAACATTGTTTACTTGTATATCACTTTCATGAATTACCTTTTTTTCTCTTCAATTTTATTCTTTTTTTATCTATTCAATTTCATTAGGAATTTGTTTCCAAACAAGATATACATTGTGGTTCTACAATAGGACCATTATTATCATCACAATTAGGTATACCTACAGTGGATTTAGGATTTCCTCAATTAGCTATGCATTCATGTAGAGAATTATGTTGTTCAACTAGTATTGAACAAGCAGTACGTTTTTTTTCATCATATTATCAACATTTATCAAAAATTTGGTGTAATCATCAATCATATCATAATGATAATAAACAATTAAATCAATCCTCTCATCATATTTATTTATAAAAATTGAATGATTTAAGAGCAAATTATGTAATGAATTGTTGATTCATTGATCGTTTTGATTACAAATGGGGGTGGGGTGAGGTGGGTTATGACTGGTTGGATTGGGGTTTCAAATCGTATCGACGCACACAGATACACATACACACATAGAGACACACACACATTTATAAATACATATTCAAACTATTAAACATTTTTTTGATTATGATCGAAAGGAAGCTTCACTTATTTCTTGATACAAATCTTTTTTTATCCATTAAAGATTTAAGAAAATTGTTTTGTAGGTTGTTTATTCTTTCTATTCTTATTGTTTTCAAGTCATGTTTGTTTGTTTCTTTTTCTTCTTCTTCTTCTTCTTCCTCCTTCTCCTCCTCCTCCTTTTCTTCTTCTTCTTCCTCCGTGAAAGATACCGTTTTCTGTTTTGTTTTGTTTCGGTCTGTGGAAATTTCCAAGTCTTCTTGTGTAGTCCGCTCGTATTCAGTTTCCTCTTTTTTTTCTTCTTATTTCCATGTTTATCAAGTTCATCTGTTTTCCTTTTGATGAATAAAGTTTTCCTTTCTTCACAGTTATTCAAACTCTATGAAGGTATTTACTGGACAGACTTTTCTTCTTCTTCTTCTTCTTGTTTTTATACATTACCATAACATTCTTTGTTAACTTATCCGTTATTTCTTATGTTCACAGTTATATTTGTCAATAGTTAGTTTAACTTTATTATTCATTCCTTCATTCATTGTATGAAGTACCTGAAGTGAATATTTGATACATAAGAATATGAATTATTATATATATCTTCTTCTTTACTAATGAATTACCCCTATTCAACCATTAATGAATAAAACATCTTCAGATACTTATCTGTTTGTTTATTCACTATCCTCATTCATAAAATATCTTCATGTATTCATATTGTATTTGTGTCAGGTTGGTTGTTTTTTTTTGTGTACATGAATTACTATCTCTTTCTTATTCTTAAACTATATACACAGTTTGTTTTTCGATGTTGTTAACAAATCAAATTTTAAGAATTTCTATGTATATCTATTATTGGAATAAAGTTTTTGTTGTTGTCGTTGGTTATATTGACTCTTTTGTTGTTGTTGTTGTGGTGGTGGTGGTTGTTTTACCGTACTCATCAATACAGATAGTTTATTTCTTATTTGCTTATAGTGAAGAGTTTTACTTTAGAATCTTAATAGAAAAGTAGATAAAATATGGTTAGTAGTAAAATTCAAGACATGCATTTTATCCTATTTGGTCAGTCAATCAGTCCGTTACAACATAAGACCAGACCCATACATGCATCTGTCCAAGTCGCTACACCTCAATAGCACAACAAGTTGAACACTGGGTTCATAGAAGTAGTCAACTCAATGGTGTAATATATAAAGGAAATATTTTTAATGTAAGGATATAGTATAGAAAGAAACATGTGAAGCAATTTTCATCTCATAGTTTAAGGAAAGACAGAGAATATATACACCGACGCCATTGTGATCGATTCTGAGCCATGTCATACAGAGTCTCCGACTATTGGCTACGATAGTCACACGGACCCCAACCAAGTAGTTTGCATCTACCAACATAGCTCATACTAGAAGTTAATGACTTTAAGGACTAATGCCAAGTTTTGGTTTGGCCGCCCATAATGTGTCTAAGTCATCTGTGGTCAAATACAAGTAACTTACGAGTATCTTCTACTCTTAATGGTCGCGTTTCTCAGTCGTAAAGTAGAACAGAACGGACTGCCGCGCAGTATACTTGTCCCTTAATTGATAAGCGGATATTTTGCCTTCGTCGTAGGTGAAACTTATTGATTGGATATGTAGTGAATGAGAATTTAAGTGGGGAAAACCAATTTGTAGTTTTATACAAAATTACATAATGTCTTTGTAAAATATGGAAATCACACATTAAATACATTATTTGTATATCTTCCTTTAGTTGTTCTCGACATACTTCATGACTTAATTCTATTGTTATTTCAATTATTCTGTTTCCATTTTTGCTCTCTTTAATTCAATCTTCTTGTGGCAGACACTTCACTTCTGATTACTGCTACATACTACTTATATCTGTCAAGATATATATTGCATATACTACAAATATAAACCTAGATCCGAATTGAATTCAGAGTCTTTGTTTCTTGAAAATGTAGAAAAGATTTGGATTAGTATATGAAACTTGTCAAATAGTAAATAATTTGAAGAAATGATATATATATATATATATATATATATATATATATATATATATATATATATATATATACCAGTTTAATTTGACTAATGTGAATTTCACTGCTTCTTTCATTTACCTTAGTGGGATAATTCCCATTGTAAATATAGATAGGGTATATAATTTTAACTGTATAGAAAACTTTGTTTTACAGTCAAACTACTTCATGTTCATAGGTTCTGTTAGAGGTAAGTTATTGCACAAAGTATGTAGGTCGTTTATGAATGGATTTTTTCATTTTGAAGATATGTAACATCATTGATTAGTCATTATAAAACAACTTTAACTAGAGCCCGAATGTATACATTCGTTTAACTCGTAAAAGTTTTCAGGATTACTGTTTTGTCTACAAGTTCTCTGTTACTATATGTTCGACAATAGAATCTCAGAATTGGATAAATTCCAAGTTAAGATCTAACAATTGCTCAAATTTAAAGTTTTTAATGTAGAATCTAGTACATATCTTCATTTGACTTCAAGTTTGCACAGCACATTTAAGTATCAGAATAGTAGGAGTAGTAATAGTATTAATAATAGTTGAGATTAGGTATGGACGATATAATTCGGAGATAATGAATTCATGGATTAAGAAAAATAGTACCGAGATAATTTTGAAACTCAAGATCTTATGAAAGACAAAAAGTTTAGCTACCTGAGCCTTTCGGACCGAACCATGAACCATGTCACTTAACGTCTTGAACTATCGGTTACGACCTCAGTTACGTAACATGAACCTCCCTATATAGCTCCATTTGTAAGTGACTTCATGGATTAATACTACGTTTTCGTTTGGCTGTCCCTAGTTTTCCTCTAACCCATTCCCACACTAGTAAATATCGAGTGTCAAAGTAGACAACAGTTGGGAATATATAATACATGTTAAAACTACCTCAGTTAGTGAAAATTCACTATCTCATCAACCAGTATGGTCACTCGATGATCCTAACGTGCTTAAGTAAATCCTTGAAGGGATCTATGATTGAATAATGGTAAAGTACTAATATCTTGTATTTTTTAAAGGTCACGTTTCACATAAATAAAGTAAAATAAAGCGTACTGAACAGCATACACATCTTTTACTTAGCAGATAGACATCTTGCGTATGCAATAAAAGTTGGCAAAAGCTAACTGAGCCTTCTAAATTCCTGTCAATATTTTGTCAAACATTAATACACCAGGGCATCGTTGCTCAGAGTGACTTGAAGATTCTGCATTTTTTCAGGGTCTTCATCAAACAAGGGTATATCGCCTGTGTATTCTAAGTCAACAAGTGATTCTTCTAGTGAGACGCCAATTCAGAGAATGCCATGCAATCAGAGGGTTATTTCTTACGGAATATCTATGGTATAGTTAGATAAAAATGAAAGCTGACAACCTAAATGGATATTACTTTATATCATCACTTTCGATGACAGCTCAATACTAGTTTTGGCTCGATCACTAGTATACAAGTAGAGAGTGTGTAGATCTACTTTATTAACATGCCCTTCAATGACAGACACTTAGAGAACCTATCGAACAATGGTTTAAAATAATGTAAGTGGAGGTCGATAGATATGTTCACGCTCCAGAACTTGATGAAGGTCGAATATATATTGTATTTATGCTTGCAAATGTAGAATATTTTATCTTACCAGTTGATAGATCAAGTGATTTTCAGTAGGTCTACATACAACCAGCTCGCAGACCTGTTTGATTTCCTTAGTTTCTTTTGATTTTGATATGTAACATTTAATTGATTCGTCTATTTTCGATATACCACGGCAGGATGTTTGAGGTCCCTTCCTTTTTAACGAAATTAATTTGTAATTGTGAAAGGAAAAAAAAATAAAAGGAAAGAATTCATTCCAAGCTATTTATGCCGTCATATAATTCACTTTATCTACTATTGGGCAAATATAAAATGATCTGTTACTTATCTTTCTGTGGAATTATTTATGAAACGTTTCAACTGTTTGGTAATGTCTAGAATATTTCTCATATGCATTGAAAGTTTTATAACTTTTGACCTGTGTGCCTGGTTAATGTATAACGTAACGATACCGTCAATTAGAGAGCAGTGAATTATCGATCGGATCAATGACTCATGAAACCCGTAAGAGCAGTCTAAACTACTTATCGGTCCTGCTTCCTGCCTAACCAAGCCAGTTATGTTCAGGACAGCAATCTCAGCCTCTGCAATATGAACCGTTTATTTCAAACATACTCTGTTTATATACCAATCAAGCAGACAGACCACATCGTACCATAAAATAGAAAATAACATTTGTACAAGAATTAGCCAAATGTGACTGTGAATGAGGGATGTAGTAATTAATAGACAGGGCATAATTCAACAATCGTAGATTGTATAATGATGGTTCATAGGTCAAATAAAGCCCATAATAAAAGGAACATGAATATGAACAGTTTAGTCATTTAACAATTATACGATAAAAATATACGTACAGTATTGGGCCATAAATGGATCCCCAAAGGTTACCATTCATTATGCTTATCGGAACATAACAGAAAGTTATGACTTTTTCAGTGTGTGAAGGTAACAGACAATTCACATATATTTCTGATTCAAAAACGCTTACTATTTGCATATCGTTTCAATTTTGTCACTTCTCTTTAGGATTTAACTCTTCTGTCTTTGAAATAAAATCATTCGATTATCATCGATATTAGTGCTTACGACTGATGGGCATTTCCATAAGCATTACGATATGAAATTAACAAGATAAATAACACAACAGGTCGAAATACTGTAGCAGCCATGTCTATGATCAAGACTAATAATTGAGAATATAGTTCAAAAAGACCACTGGAAAGGTATGTATGATGAAAGAATACTGGAATTCAAGATAAAATTGTCAAGCTGAAATTCAGAATAGTAGAGATAGTAGCAGTATCAGTTGTGATAGGAAAGATTAAGTGATTCGATTCTCATATTGGAAACTGGTATTGGTGTTCTGGACTCAAATGGACGGGTTAGGCGGACATAGGACCAATAAGGACGGTAGGCTGCTCATACCGGTCGAATGTCATTGGTTTGACATAGTGCTAAGATTGAATAAGTCCTATTTTAATTGATGGATAAATCCCGTGATAAAAAGCCGGAAATAAAGTCGTAACAATGATAGGAGTATCAGTTGTGATAGCAAAGAATACGACCAAGTCCACTTAGTTCACTATAAAGAAAGCCATGGTTTTCAACTGACAAACAAATGATAATAAACATCATATCAGTAACCATATGGATGAGAAATATTACTGATAAAATTTAGTACTTAGTTACTACATTTTTCATATATTATAAATTATGTTTATAGCATCGATCACAAGGTTCTCCAACTAACACTTGTAACTTCTGTTCATGAATCATTCGTTTAAGAAAACTTAGAACTTTTTCTTCTTTTTAAATGATTGAAACCATTTTGGCAAATTTCTTTGATCAAATAATTTTCAAATTTAAAACTAAGTGGGTTCCATTGTCGTGACGTTAGTCTGGGTGTAAAAAGTCGGATATACAATGCATTGTATAGAGCAGTTTTTCTCTATGCTTGTTAAACTTGAACTCTTCGAGTCGAGTATGTTGTCTCTGAAGGACTTCTGAGATCTAGTGGCAACATCGTGATAGTAATGGGTAGGTTCGGCAACATATATTCGGACACAATGATGATTATTCATTTGGGGTCACCATCTTGAAACACCGCCTTTGGTGTCTTGAAAACATACCACGAATGTCGTCGCAGAGAACTCCACACTCCGAATTAGTTGCAGTCGCTGTAGCCGGTTAGAAAAAGTGGAGAAGTGATCAGTATATGATCTACTGTCATGGCAAGAAAGAAAGCTGT